CGCTGCCGCAGAGGATTTCCGGGCCGCGCTCAAGGCCATCGGCATCAAGGGAGCCTCCTTGCGTGGTCTACTGGCTACACTGGCCGGATTGCTGAAGTTGGGCGATGCGGCAGGATTGCTCGTCGATCAGGAAGACCTCGAGGAGGCCTGTGAGGAGGTCGGCGGCCTCCTAGGGATTGACCCGGAAATTCTAGCCCGCAAGTGCTCGACCGATGAACGGGAGGTGCTGATTGCTGGAATCTACGAAGCCCTCGTCGATTGGGTGATCGGCAAGGCGAACGACGCCATTTCGAGCGAGCTCCAAGCAATGCTAGAAAGTAGCCCCAGCATGAGCGGTGGCTCCGGCCTTGGAGGTCAATGGACTGACGACGATACCGTTGCTATCACGGTGGTGGACATCCCTCGACCCGCCCTGGGCAAAGCATTGGCAATGAGAGAAGTCTTCGACGATAGCATTGGTATCAATGCGGAAATGAAGGAAGACGGCGTCAGCGTTCCTGCGGTTGGGCACGCAGTTTCCAACGACGTGAACGCGGCAGTTGCACAGGTCGAGCCCGACCTTGGCATTACCACTGGAAATGCCTGGCGCGAACGTGAATACGAAATCGCGCGGCGACAGGAGGTACTCGAGAAAGTTGGCTTCGAGGTTGAAGGGGACTCTTTCCTCCGACGCCTTTTGCTGCCCGTCGAAAGCGAAGGTATCACGGTTGGCCAAAAGGGCCGCTTCGATCTCATCAACACTTTGGGAAGTAGCAGAGTGTGGCATCACATCTCTCTGCACCCAACGGACGAGCTTCCCCAGAATCTTAACCCTTCCCTCCCAGCTGCCGGCTGGTCGGCGGCGGCAGTCTCCCGTCAATTACGCGAATGGCGGTTTGCCGAATGGGCTAACAGACGACTCAAGCAACTCGACTTCACCGCGGATTTCGATGTGGATGAGTTCGTGAGCCGTTACCACCGACTTGGCTGCGCCGACGGCAGAGAAGGGGTCGAAAGCTGGTTGATGGAACGAGGATGGACCAATGGCGACGCAGTCGTCGGTCACCAGCGTATTTGGATGCGAGAGGGCGCTTGGTGGGAGGCTGAAACGATGCTCGATCTCAAACCGGACGAGTCGCCACCAGTGAACCCGTTTATCTACGGCAGCACTATGCTTGATCCGCATTACGCCGGAACTCCGGTCGTAGAATCGACCAGTCTTCTGGGAAGCCGGGATGACCTCCTTCAAAGACAAAGTACTCTCGTGCCCAGTGTTCATGGTGGCCTGGCCAAGTCTATTGCGCCCAGTGTCCCCAACACGCTTCACATGAGTGGAGGCGACTACGGCCTCGGCAGCAAAGGCGATACGAGGAAATGGGACGAGGATTATGCCCGGTACGAAGGCGAGCTTGATCCGGAATTTGGAGATGGCAAGCACATCGAGAAGAAGCCCATCACCAAGGTGCGGCGTGCCTGGGTCGCCTTTGTGTGGGCGTTGACCTTTTGGATCCCCTCTTTCGCCCTCCGCTGGTTTGGTCGCATGAAACGTCCTGACGTCCGGATGGCCTGGAGAGAGAAGTTCGTTCTCGTCTTCCTTATCCTGCTGTTCAACGGCATTGTCTGCTTCTATATCATCGCTTTCGGCGATCTTCTGTGCCCGAACAAGAACAAAGTCTGGAACGAAAAGGAGCTCAGTTGGCATGTGGGCAACAATGACTTCTACGTCAGTGTCCATGGAAACGTATATGACATCAGCAAGTTCTGGCGTAAACAGCACAGTGACAGCAGTATCGAGACGACTACCAGCAACATGAAGCCGTTCGCCGGAGAGATCCTGGATCCGTACTTCCCTCCCCCACTGACTCGTTTCTGCGGGCACTTTGTCACGGAACAGTCAATTCAAATGCAATACAACGACACCAGCGCCATTGAATACCCCAATGCGGAACACAAGTGCGGTCCCTATGAAACGCCAAGCACGACCACGGCGCTGCACAACATCACGTGGTATGAGGACATCTTCCTACCCAAAATGAAGGGGTACTACAAGGGACCTCTTGTCTGGACCCGAAAGAAGGTCAAGGAGGAGGCTGAGTCAAGTTCGCGGTACTGGGTCATTGTCAATGAGAAGATTTATGATCTGACGGATTATTTCTACACGGCCGATTTGTTCGATGATAGCAACGGTTATGACTACCTTCCCAGCAGCGTGACCACGCTTTTCAAGAACTATGCCGGTGAAGACGTCACGTCGAAATGGGGAAACAGCACGGATTTCCGTAACGCCCAGACTTGTCTGGACTACGTTTTCTACAAGGGCAAAGTCGATTTCCGCAACAGCCCGAGGTGTACGGTCAACAACTGGATCTTGTTGGCATTCACGGTTATGATCTGTGCTGTGATTGTTGTCAAGTTCCTTGCCGCTCTGCAGTTTGGTACCAAGCGTCGTCCTGCTCCGCAAGACAAGTTCGTTATCTGCATGGTCCCTGCCTACACCGAGGGTGAGGATGCGCTGCGGCAGGGTTTGGACTCGCTTACTGCCCTCGAATATGATAACAAGCGGAAGCTCATCTTCGTGATCTGTGACGGTATGATTGTCGGTGGTGGTAATGACCGGCCAACTCCCAAGATCGTGCTGGATATCCTTGGCGTGGATCCCAAGATCGATCCTCCTGCGTTACCCTGCAAGGCCATCGGACAAGGAAACGAGCAACTGAACTACGGAAAGGTATACTCTGGTCTCTACGAATATGAAGGCAACGTGGTTCCGTACATCGTTGTGGTGAAGGTCGGTAAGGAGTCGGAGCAGAGCAAGCCCAAGCCTGGCAACCGTGGCAAGCGTGACTCCCAGATTCTGTTGATGCAGTTCCTGAATCGCGTGCACCATCGCTCTCCCATGACGCCGCTCGAGCTTGAGATCTTCCATCAGATCAACAACGTGATTGGCGTTGACCCCGAGCTGTACGAGTACTGCCTGATGGTGGATGCCGATACTAGTGTGCGGGAAGATTCACTGAACCGACTTGTGGCTGCATGTGCCAATGATGCGCGGATTGCCGGTATTTGTGGCGAGACCAGTCTTCAGAACGAGGAGCGGAGTTGGTGGACGATGATTCAGGTCTACGAGTACTACATTTCTCACCATCTGGCCAAGGCATTCGAATCGCTTTTCGGCACCGTCACCTGTCTTCCGGGATGGTAAGTCACTGACCCGAGTGTGTCTGAATTGCTGCTAACAGGTTTTCAGTTTCTGCATGTATCGCTTGCGCACCGCCGACAAGGGTCGCCCGCTTATCATTTCCGATCAGGTCATCGTCGAATATGCCGACCCTGAAGTGGACACCCTTCACAAGAAGAACCTTTTGTCTTTGGGAGAGGATCGTTTCCTGACCACCCTCATGACGAAGCATTTCCCTCACATGTCCTACAAGTTCATCCCCGATGCCTACGCCAGTACGGCCGCGCCCGAGACATGGTCCGTCCTGCTTTCGCAGAGACGTCGTTGGATCAACTCCACCATCCATAACCTGGTTGAGGTTGCGGCCTTGAAGGATATGTGTGGCTTCTGTTTGTTCAGTATGCGGTTCGTCGTCCTGGTTGATCTTATTGGTACGCTTATTCTTCCGGCTACGTGTGTCTACCTGGGATACCTGTTGTATCTGGTTGGAAGTGGCACGGGTCAGTTCCCGATCATCTCGATCATTATCTTGGCGGGTGTGTATGGTCTCCAGGCGATTATCTTCCTTCTCAAGCGCCAGTGGCAACACATCGGATGGATGATCATCTATCTGTGTGCCTACCCGGTCTACAACTTCGTTCTGCCGCTGTACTCTTTCTGGAAGCAGGATGATTTCAGTTGGGGTAACACGCGTGTTGTGATCGGTGAGAAGGGAGACAAGAAGGTGGTGGCGGTGGAGGAAGACAAATTCGACCCGCGCAGCATTCCGCTGCAGCGCTGGGACGACTATGCTCTGGCCAACAATCTCCCCGGCCGTCGCGGCGACTTCGGCATGAGCCAGGAGAAGCTGTACTCTGGGCGTTTTGGTGACGAGATGGCGATGGAAATGGACGACATGCACTCGCAGTATTCGTCGGTCAAGCCGGCGTCGACGATCCTGACGGGCTTCCCCGGGCAGGGTCGCCACAGCAGCCCTTACATGCCACCGCAGTCGCCGGCACCTTTCCTGAACACGCCGGGCAACCGCCAATCGCATCTGTCCAGCTTCACGAGGTACACGGACAACCCTCACCAGAGCAGTCACAACGTGTCGCGCCACATGTCGATGGGCAACTTGAGCCAGTTCCAGGACAGTGGGATGGCGACGAACCGCCACAGTGTGGGATTGATGCAGAGCACGGAGAACCTGCTCGGTGGGCCGCGACCCAACTCGCGCAGTCCGGTGGGAGGCTACTCCTCTCGACCGGTGAGCGCGTTCGATTTCCGCGGGGGCAGTGGGCCGGACGAGGCCTCGATCACGGAGGCGATTCGCAGCTGCTTGGCCGAGGTGGATTTGGACACGGTGACGAAGAAGCAGGGTAAGTGATTTGCCTGGGTGGTTGTTTCGGTCCCTAACTAATCTGGCACAGTGCGGGCATTGGTTGAGCAACGATTGCAAACGACGCTGATGGGCGACAAACGGGCTTTCCTCGACAAACAAATTGACCACGAGCTGGCCAATATGTAGTGATCCGTTGGTCGGGGTTACTTGTATTTTTGCCATTTGTTTTAACACATACATAGTATTTTCGGGCATGCACGGTGTTGGGTGATTACTAGCGACTAATGGATGCGGTGTATACAAGGTAGTTGCGGGATGATCAGACGTAGGGTTGATGCATGTAGTGATGCAGTGTGTGTACTGCTGGTCATGACTGTCAGTAAGTGCTGTGTACCTGCATAGTGTATGCATCAATCCATGACTGCAGATTTACAAATAGACAAGATAGTACCCCGCAACCATCATCATCACGACCAACATTGCCCCTCAATCCAACTCAAACCCCAACCCCATGAAGAAGAATCACCACCACCGAAACCACCCACCCCTCCCCTTCCCAAGATTCTCGTTATCGGCATCGTCGTCATCTCCACCCTCCTCCTCCCGACCTTCGTCCCGCTCATCTCTCCGCACCTTCCCAGCCCCAACCCCATTCACAACCCCAGCATCCCCCTCATCACCAAAATCAACCCCCTCCCCCCCAGGATCCTCCCCATCCCCATCCCCACCCCCCGAACGATGCTCAACCAACCGCAACGTCTCCTCCACCACCAACAGCTCGCGCTCAATCACCTCCGCCCAGTTCTGCACGTCCCCGATCTCTTTCAACGCGTCACGCGCCGCGTCCGCCGTCTTGGCCAGCTGGGCGTTCTGCTTCGCCAGCGCCGCCGTCGACCCCGCCAGCGCGTGCTCCTGGCGCTCGAGGGCGGCGGCGTTGTCGTGCAGGATCCGGGCGCGCTCGCGCAGGTGCGTCTCGTGCGCTTGCGCGGTGCTGCGCAGGGTGGCGGTGAAGGCTGTGCGGGCTTCGGTTGCTGTGCTTGTAGAGGGGGATGTGGTTGAGGCTGAGGGGTGGGAGGTTGGTGGGTTTTGGGGGGTGTTTTGGGGGGGGAGAGGATTGGGGGGTGTGGTTGTGTTTGCGGGTGCGGGTGCGGGGGTTGTGGTTGTGGTTGGCGTCGTGGTGGTGGTTGTGGTTGTGGGGTGGTCGGGCATTTTGGTGTTGTGTTGTTTGTTAAAGATCGGGATGGTTTGATCGTAGGGGGGTTTCTATTGTGGTTGGTTGAGTGGACTTAGTGATGGTGATGGTGATGTGGTGGAGATGAGAAGATAGAGCTTGACTTGACTACGTAGACTACATACTAGCTTGTTAGAGATGGGCACATCCTAGTCAGTTGCATGTGATTTATACTGCTAGAGATAGGTCAGTCGGTGTAGGTACAGTACACTGTTCTACAGCTTATACTCCATCTTGGTCAATTGAGAATAGGACACTCTATACAGCACCTCCTCTTTGTAGCTATGAATTGTTTACTTCAATAAGGTAAATACTACTTTACTACTCATGAATCAACGATTCTAACCATGGAACAGGAACACCCGCCCCGCCCCGCCCGCCCCGCCTTGCCTTGACCTTCCTATCTACATCGTATATCCACAGCAATCCCCTTGATACTATCAAGTCCACGCAATCCGCACCTCTAAAAAGAATCAGAAACACAGGGATGTCTGTCTAGCGCAGGATTCCCGCCCCCAAACCCACATTGACCGTCAATCTCACCACGCCATTCTCACCAGTAATCCCTAAGAAGCCCAGCCCAAAGATACCGGAAGTACGCGGCCTTAAGCACAAACTCCGTCCACCACCACCACCACCACCACCACCACCTTATACACAACCATATACATATACTCCACTCCGTACATCACCTACATATACACCCCCATCCCCCATCTCCCATCCTCCATCCTCAGCCCCCTCAACCCCAACCCCATTCCCCCCCCAAATGCCAAAAACCTACCTAATAACCGGCGCATCCAGCGGCCTCGGCGCCGCCCTCGCCCACTCCGCCCTGCAAGCCGGACACACCGTGCTGGCCACCGCGCGCAACCCGACGCAAGCCTCACTCACCCACCCCTCCCTCACCACCCACCCTCACCTAACCTGGCTGCCCCTCGACATCACCTCCCCAGACACCACCGCAACCCTCTCCGCCGCCCTCGCGGCCCACCCGCCCGTCGACGTCCTCGTCAACAACGCCGGCTACTCCCTGCTAGGCAGCATCGAAGCCATGACCCTGGCCGAGGTGGGCGCGCAGTTCGACACGAACGTGTTCGGGGCGATCCGCGTGCTGCAGGCGGTGCTGCCGGCCATGCGGGCGCGGCGGGCCGGCACGGTCGTCAATGTCTCGAGCAGTGCCGGCGTGGACGGGTTGCCTGCTTGTGCGGTTTATGCGGGGAGTAAATTTGCCCTGGAGGGTGGGTTTGTCTTTTCTTGAAGCTTAAATTGGGTTGGGCTAACGTGTGTAGGCATGTCCGAGAGCCTGGCCAAGGAACTCGCTCCCTTGGGGATCCGCGTGCTGCTGGTCGAGCCGGGCACGCTGCGGACGGGCTTCTGGGCGGCGTTTGTGGAGCCGGCGGCCGGGTTGGATCCGGGGTATGCGGGGACGCCGGTGGAGGCGGTTCTGACCAAGTTCAGGGGGAATAAGACAGCACAGACTGCGGCGGGGTCGGATCCGGTCAAGGCGGCGCAGCGGATTGTCGAGGTGGTGGATGGGACGGGGTTGGGGGCAGGGAAAGATGGGCTGCTGCGGGTGCCGTTGGGGGAGGATTGTTATCGGCGGTTCCAGGCTAAGATTGAGGGTCTGCAGCAGAATTTGGAGCAGATGAGGGAGATTGCGCATTCGATTGGGTTTGAGGAGTAGAGGATGCAGTGCTTGTATGGAGTGTCGAGGTAGGTGGTGGGTTGTGGATATGTTCGATAGAAGTAGAGCCCTGCTGACCAAAGTATATATACAAAGTTGAACCCTGACCCGGTATACCAATTCCAACTCAAGACATCTGTCCAGGTTAATCCTCAGCCTCCTCCTCCTCCTCCTCCTCCTCAAAATACTCCCGCCAGATATCCAAGCAATCTCGCCCCTCATCCTCCTCCATCCCCCATTCATCCCATTCATCCCACTCCCCCAAACTCATCAGATGCCGCATCGTAGGCCGCCCGTGAGGACAGTTCCACGGCTTGTCGATCGTTCCCATGTTGCGCACCACCCGCTGCATCTGCTTCGTCGTCAGGTTCTTCCCGATCATGATACTCGACCGACACGCCCGCATGGCGAACATCTTCCGCACCTTGGTCGGGCGGGGCACTTCCTCACTCCCACTCGTCGCGGGCATCTCCGACAGCAGCACGATCAGCTCCTCCAGGTCGCGCTCCCCGAATACCACCTCCTTGCTCAGCGGCAACGACACCAGCCGGCAGCGGCGGCCGATGGGCTCGTCCCCGCTGTCGTCTACCTCCACCACGAACCCGTTCTTCTCCAGCGCCGCCTGGTTCTCGATCACGACCTCCTCCTCGACCGCCGTCAGGTCCAGCGGCTTGGGCCGCACAAGCCGCTGGTTCTGCACCACCGTCTCCGCCTGCAGGCGCTCGAAATTGTACTTCTCATCCGACGCGTGCTGGTCGATGATGAACAGCTCATCCTGGTGGGTGCCGGCGCGGGGCCGCGTCGCCAGAATGAACCCCAGGTTGAACTGTCCGATGATCCGCATCTGCGCGAAATCATCCTTGCTGACCGTCAGGGACAGTCGTTCTTCCGCAGTCGCGTGGGTTCCAGCCACCTCGGCTGGGTCTTGTGTAGTGTCGACTGCTGCGTGACGAAGGCAGGTTTGAAGTTGGTTGAATCGGGTTTGGATCTTGGATAGGGAGCCGTCGACGGTGGTCACGAGTTGGACTGTGGAGTCGCGGTGAGCGGCGCCCTTGTTCATTTTAATCGCGCGCTTTTCGCTGTTGTGCGGGAGGGCGGCCTTCTCCTCCGCTTGTTGGATCAACCGCTGCACTTCGGCCTCTTCATGCTGCTTCTTCTCTTCCTCGGTCATGTGCTCTTGCGCAGGTTGCGTGGCGGTTTCCTTGTCGGCTGCTTCATCTGCACCGGCGTCGGAGTGTACACTTTCATGGTCGGAGTGCGCAGAAGCTTGAGAGCCGGTCTCTTCCATCTGTTCTGCATCCTCTTCCATCTCGTCTACTTCAGCATCCTCCTCCATCTCGTCTTGATCTTCTTCGACTTCGTCAGAGTACTCGTCCTCAATCTCTTCATCCCCCTCACCCTCGTCCTGCGCCATCTGGGACCCAGGGGCGGCAAAGTCGCGCATATGTTTGCCAAAAATGCTCGGCCGGGACGGCGTGTATATCCGCCTCTTCCTGGTAGAGCCACTTGACCCAGTGGAGTCACTGAATCTCTTCCTCGGGACACCACTTCCTATCACGGAGGTGACGGTCCGGTTACCAATGGTGATCGTGGCGATCTCGGCCGGCATGCGTCTGGGCCGCATGCGATCGAAGGCGTTCTGCACAATACTCGGCGTTTCTTCCGGGATCTCTGAGTCCTGTGTCGAGGGGATGGGAGGGCTCAATGGAGCGGCAGCCTGGATGTCCTGTGTAGAGCCACCAGGCACTTCGTCCTGCGGAAGAGCCCTCTCGCGAGACACTGGCGTGCTGTCCTGCCGCACGAAGAGCTCGTTGTCTTCTTCTTCCTCTTCCTCGGGCAGGTCAGACTGAGGTTTCGGTGCCGCAGACACAGCGTCTTGTATCTCATTCGGGGCATCATCAGCAGGCTCTTTACGGTTTCCTCCAGCCCCAAGTCCACTCAAGAAGCTCTTCATCCGATCCTGAGCGTTGGCGTGCACTGCATCCTTCGTCTTGATTTGAGTCTTGTCCCCATCTTCCTTCTCCTCCTCCTCCCCCTTCTCCGTATCCTTAGCAGCCTCACCCGCCCGACCAGAACCCAGACCCTGCAACCGGGACTGCCTCCCCGCCGCCACCTGCGCCTGCGGCACCGTCTGCTCCGCCTTCTCAAACAACTCCACAAGCGCCCGCTTTAACGACTCAATCAGCTGGCCCGCATCATGCAGCAAGATCGTCCGCTTATCCGGCGACACATTGACATCATACGCCGCCGTATCCATCTCGAAATCGGCGAACACGAACGGCGACTGCGCGACATTGAACGAGCGGTAGACCTCATTAAAAGCCTTCGCGATCTGCGGCAGCCCACAGGGCCGCGCATTCACGAAGAACATCTGGCGATCGGGCGTCTGGCGCCCCTCCCCGACCACGGGCCGGGAGATATGGCCGCGCACCTTGATGCTGCCGGCAAAATCCAGCTCCAGCTCCAGCGGAATCAACGCCGCCAGCGTCTTCGCCCCGTACACATTCGCCAGGTTGGCCTTGGTCGTGGCATTCCCATTCGTGCTGAACACGACCACATTTCTTCCCGCCCCGCCGCCACCTTTAGTGGCTGTAGTATTGCGCACGGTAAACCGCACCCCGGTGCTGATGCACGCGTACGCATGCAGCAGGCTGACGACCTTGCCGTACTCGCGCTTGAGATTCTTCTCCAGCTCGCGGCGCCGCACCGGCAAGCCGCGGAAGATGTGTGCGACCGCGGCGGTCGTGCCCTTCTGCCCGGCCACGAGCTGCGTTTTGTGGAGGCGGCCGGACGGCTCGAAGTCCAGCCGCGTCGCCTTGGGCGCCTGGTGCGCCTGGGCCGTCACGACGTGGAAGCTGGACAGCGCGCACAGCGACGAGAGCGCCTCGCCGCGGAAGCCGAAGGTGTGGAGCGTGTTCAGGTCGGTGAAGGTCGCCAGTTTCGAGGTGTGGTGCTTCAGGGCTGCGTCGGCGTTGGCATTAGCATATCCATTCCTCCATCCATCCATCCATCCATCCATCCAGTTCCGTAACGCTTTGCAATAATCGTGACCTGGTCAACGTCCTTGGGGCTCAGGGGGGGGCTCACCCAAACTCTCATAATTTTCCGGCGCGATCCCGCTGCCGTTATCCTGGACTTCGATGAGATCGAGCCCGTGGTTCTTGAAGCGCACCTCTTTACCCTCCCAAAGAAGTTAGTTTCTTGCTGCAGTGCCTAGCGTTTTGAATCAGGGGATTATGAGAGGGGACCGCACCGATGGAGGTGGCGCCGGCATCGAGACTGTTTTCGACCAGCTCCTTCGCGACGGAGCAGAGGTCGGTGATGACTTGGCCGGATTGGATTTGGTGGACCTTTTTTTGGGGGTGGTTAGAAATTCGCTACATTCGGAAGTAAAAGAGGGCAACGTACTGAGCGGGCCTCGATGGCCTTGATGGTCGCCATGTTCATGCCATGGCTCAGCTGGTCGGGAAAGAAAGCTTGAAGCTTTCTGGGGAAACGGAGGGGGGCCTCCACGCGTCGGGCGGTTACCACTTTACGCGACTCCGATAACTAATCTGCCTGTGGGCCCCGCTACCTACACTGCAGTGTGATACGTACTGTTTGCGTGGGCTACGCGCACCCACGTATTGAAGTAAATGTACCAAACGAAATACGACTACTTTATAAAATGATTGCATACTCGTGCCAGAAATATATACAACTATACAGCAAGACAGAACGAACGACAAAATCGCTAAGCAACGCTCAACGCCAAAGAATACGCGGCTATACTACATACACCCCTAGTAGGTATCGAAGCGGTCGGGGAGAACCACCGGGGCGATCAAAGTCCACAGGTAGATCGCGTAGCACACCCAGGCGCTGATAATCTTGACCCAGCTGGCCCAGTAGGTCCGGCCCACCGGCGCAAAGTCGTCCGCCGCCTCGGGGTCCAGGTTCTGCGTGAGCAGCGTGGCCACCCAGGTGGTCGCCAGGAAGAAGATGATGTGGAACAGGGAGTAGTTGTACTGGGTCGAGCCCTTCTCGTCGTCCTTGGTGTCGTACTCATCGGATTCGTCGTCGCTCTCGTCGAGGGCGCTGGCGGGCAAGCTGCCGCTGGCCACCGCCGCACGGAGCACCTCGGCCCGCATCTCCCGCCGGCTGCTGGGCTGCTGCGTCACGAGGCCGTGCTCGTTGTCATCGGACTGCAGCTGCGAGTAGCTGTGCCCGCCCTTGGACCCCAGCGCGATCCCCTGAGTGGCCGCGCGCGTGGTGGTGTATGCGATCGTGGCCATCGTGACGATCGCGCCCAGAACAATGCTAGCGGTGCGGGTGCCCCGCGCCCGAATCAACGGGTTGCAGTGCCGGTCATCCGGTTCCATCGAGACAGCTGACATGGTCAGGTACGTGCAGTAGACCGTCACCATCGCGGCCTGGGCCAGTCCCGCGCGGGGGTTGGACTCCTGCACTATGGGCTGCACAGAGATTATGGAGATGATCAGGAAGATGACGAGGTTGATCTATAGTGCACAAGTCAGCAAGAAAAACCATGACCACAGAATGTGCACTGGGCAAGTCACGTACCGTAATCGCAGCCTGGTTCATGGAGCATCCGCTGTGGGCGAAGAAGACATACATCAGGATCGTCATGACGAGCGATGCAAGGTACATGCCCACGGTCGAGCCAATGAGCAGACCGCGCCAAGTCCGCGAGTCCTGGTCCTCGATCTTCTGCAGGCAGATTTCGGCCCAAGAGTGGGCCAGGTCCACGAGGAGGATCAGCCCGAGCAGCAGGAACAGCATGGCGCAGAAGAAGGCGATGTAGTGTCCATAGACGAAGAAGAACGATTCCGGGATGAAGAATGACGTGACCACGAGTGCGAGCCACAGGATGATCTTCGGACCCCAGAACCCATTCTGCAGAACGGCACGGCCATCCTTGGAGGACCTCACCCCGAGCAGGGCGAGGGCGAGGATCAAGTGAAACAGGCCAAGACCGAAGTTGATACGATGCACCGCGACCCATCCGTGACATTCCTTGCCGTCACACCGGATTTCCATGTAGTCCAAAGTCATGTGCTGAAGTTTCTTGAGCGCCCATGGCGTGAGCATGATCCAGGATACGATTGAGTTGAAAAGGAGGATGAAGGCGTAGGCGATTCTCGTCGCCATGCTGCGCGGTGTTAGTTCAAGGTTCGCGTGTTCTCCGATTAGCCATGGGTCTCACCTGTTCTGGAACTTGCCACATGCGCTACATACTGCGGAGCAGGTCGCAGCGCCGCAGCAGGAAGTCGCAAGGGTGATGAGCTGTGTCGCGATTAGTCGTGGACGGGCGATGAGGATAGAGATTGCGTACCGTGCTGGCGCTCGGGATCGCCAACAAAGGCAGAGACAGAAGGGCTCCCATGATGATGAACCTTCAATGCCTCTATTTCTTCTCGAGTAGTGACTTGATATTAATAGCGCTGAATAGTAGCAGAACTGGTGCAAGTGGTGAATAATAAGTAGTAGCGTGTGGCCGGGACTGCAGACCAAGCAAGGCAGGCAGCAAGTTGAAGATGCCGGCAATTGTTGTTCTCGCCGCCGCCTTCGTCATGTGAGACTCACCGCCGGCATCGGAGAAATTGCCTGCGAACGGTCAGGCCCCCTTTCTTTGGGCCTTATCGGCGATAAGCGACTGGTCCTGGTGGTTCTTGTCAGAACTGCCACTGCCAGTGCAGCGCAAGTGCGGAGTCGAGGCCGAGGACGGCGCGATCTTCCAATCCACCCGATTACGAGTCCCCCCCCCCCGAGGGGAAAAAGGAAAAGATTCGAAAGAAGACACTTGGAGCGAGTGCCAGGTGAAAATCCTCTCCTCCCTCTGCTGTCGCTCATTACTTGTTCATTTTTCTCGTATCTTATCTTTTTTCTATTCTCTCCTCACCACTCTCTACTCAGCTTTTTTTCTTTTCGTTTTCTCAATTGATTAACTACACCGTCTACATTCGTTTATCTCGATTGGCGCTGTCATATACTCCTAGTTGACCTATCTGAGTAACTTACCACTAAGCTACAAACTAGTCCCGTCTCCTTGCGTTCGGCCTTCTGTTCGGTTATCGTGACGTGATAACGTTTCTCCCCTGCACCATCCGTGGAACACTCCGAGTCGAGGCTACAAATAGACACTCGCCTTCTTGCGACCTCCTTCCCCACCTTTTCTTTGCATGTGAAGCCCGCTCCCTGGCTCTCCTGGCGCAAACGGCACCTAAAGACTGCAACATGGCGCCTTCATCGCATCAAACGAAGCGATTCATCTCCGTGATAGCAGCAACGGTGGTTGCGCTCGCCTGTGGGACGAACGTATGTGCCAATCCACCATCTGATATACCGTGCACGCGAGTTCTAATCAGACCCAGTATGCATACTCCGCATGGGCGCCTCAATTCGCGCAACAGATGAAGATCTCAGCAACCAAAAGCAACTTCATTGTAAGCAAGCTGCCTGCTGCTCATACAATCATGTCGATCGTGAGATTCACAATTTCCAGGGTGCTGCGGGAAATCTGGGCATGTATGCGTCAGGCATCCCGTTGGGACTGTTGACTGATGCTCGGGGCCCCCGTCTGACGACCTTCTTGGGAGCCATCACCCTTGGCTTGGGCTATTATCCCATCTATCTGGGTAGGCGCTGGTGTCACCGGTGGTGAAGAAGACTGCTAATTCCCGTCGCTGAGCACAGCACATGAGGGCGGGCCAGGCTCTCTCAGCACCATTTTCTTGGCCTTCTTCAGTTTCTTGACCGGCTTCGGCAGTGCCTCAGCATTCTCAGCATCTATCAAGACTTGTGAGTCCATGCCGGCTGACTTGGTTGAATTTGTGCTAAGACACCACGATTGCAGCGGCGTCGAATTTCCCCGAGCACCGTGGAACGGCGACTGCGTTTCCGTTGGCGGCCTTCGGCTTAAGCGCCTTCTTCTGGTCGACGATATCCAGCGTTCTTTTCAAGGATGATACTGGTCGCTTTCTCCTCTTGTTGGCTCTAGGGACTTGTATTCTGAACCTGATCTCGATCCCGTTTCTCCGAATCCTCCCACCCGTAGACTCGTACATGTCACTCGGCCGAGACCGGTCGCCCGGAGTGGAATCACGTCGGCTGCGCAAAGCGAGGTCCAACGAACTGCGACCCGGCCATGACGATTCTGATGAAGCAGGTACGCAAAGATATACTATCTCTGACTCCCAACCCCCGGTCCATACCAGGTCGCAATCGAACGCGTCGAACCCTACTGCCCTCAACCACAACCCCGATGTTAACGAGACCTCTTCCCTGGTACCCAAAGTCCCATTCAGAACGTCCCACGAATCCCTACCTGAGCATGAAGGGGAGGAGCTTGAAGAGGATGCCATGTCTGATGTTGCCCCCGACTCACCTCATCCAGACGTCAGAGGCTTGGCGATGCTTTCGAGGGTCGAGTTCTGGCAGCTCTTCCTGACCATGGCGCTGCTGTCTGGCATTGGCCTGATGACGATCAAGTGAGTACAATGATGACCCCGTTGACTGTGCATGAAGACTAACCGCACACCAGTAACATCGGAAACAGCGTAAGACCTTCCTTTCGTCCGGTCCGGCGGGATGCTAACCTCCGCAGGCCAAGGCACTTTGGAAATATTACGATGACAGCGCAAGCTCGAAGTTCATCCAGCAGCGACAGGTCATGCATGTCTCGATCTTGTCCTTTGGCAACTTCACCGGTCGTCTGTTGAGTGGTAAGTGCTGACACCCCACGTCCCGCCTTGGCTCATCAGCTCAACGCCTTCGTGTAACCTGCAGGGATCGGCTCGGATCTTCTGGTCAAGAAGTTGAACATGTCCCGCTTCTGGTGCCTGTTCATGTCCGCTCTGGTTTTCACCATCACCCAGCTCGCCGGGTCGTCGATCTCGAACCCCCACCAGCTGGCCATCGTGTCGGGCTTCACGGGCATCGCCTACGGGTTCCTCTTCGGCGTGTTCCCCTCCCTGGTCGCGCACAACTTCGGCATCAACGGCCTCTCGCAGAACTGGGGCGTCATGACCATTGCCCCGGTTTTCAGCGGCAACGTGTTCAACCTGCTCTATGGGCACACCTACGACCATCACTCCGTGGTTGGCCCGGACGGCGACCGGGAATGCCCGGATGGGCTGGCCTGCTATCAGGCTGCTTACTACACTACGTTCTTCTCCGGCTTGGCCGGACTAATTGTGTGCCTGTGGACGATCCTGCGCGAGAAGCGCATCCATGGCGCAATGCGGAAGAAGCTCGAGCATGACCGACTGGCTTGAGGGATGCTTTTCGGTAAACCACCCAAGCGTGCTAGCTAGCCTTTTGAGAAGGCTATTCCCACAGTTCAACCTGCATGAGCGACCTGGTCATTTCTCAGTCTTTGCGTATATAATACCCAGGGTCATTTCTATACGAGAAGTCCATAGGATAGTCTGATTATCGAGAAGGTATGTTGAATGTCTATGATGTGGTGGTGACTTGAAATTTGTTCAGTCTAGACTAGATTTTCTTTCAGATGATTTTTATAGACAACTAAGCCTGTCGAATGATTTTAAGTAGCGTCTCTGGGCATGACCAATGTCCTCTACATCACTTTCAAGTCCACGCTCCGCACATATTAGTCGGGTGGTACAGTACAGCACAGTACATGCATAGTGGCTTGGATCCACCCGCCTCTTCACTTGATATCCCAATTGCATTGCTTTTCTACTTCGCAATGAATACATCAAAATATCAAAAACCACCACTACACCTCCCAACCCTGAGTCCACTTCCACTTACACCACCAATAGAAGTGGCAATTTCTGATTACCTACCCAGCCCACCAAACAACTGATCAACTAAACTAGAGAAACACCTTCAAGGACCCTCCACATCAACCAAAGCAAAAGCCCAACCAAACCCACCCCAGGCACTCAAGCACATAAGCACATCCATTCTCATCCCCACACCGAGTCCCTGACCCAAAACCCACAACCAAACATAACCCAACCCAAGCAGTACCGCACCCTCATCCCAAACCCCTCCCCAACCACAAGAAGAATCAACTCACAACCCCCAAAACCCTAACCTGCACATTATTCGCCCCGAGCGCGGTCTGCCCAATAAAATTATCCCGGGTCATCTCCACATTCGCCTGCGTGGTCGCGTGGAGCGCCAGCTCGTAGCGCCGGAACAGCGTGCCCAGGACGAGGTGCATCCAGGCTGCGTTCATGCTGCATACCCCATACACCATCCGGGTGGTGTTAGTGGGGGTTGTGCCAATGGTAACGGTAACGGTGACGATGACACGCAGCGCAAGTGGGGAGGGAGGGAGGGAGGGAGGGAGGGAGGGAGGGAGTGTTTAGAGGACTGGGGATGATGCATCGGAGGGGGAGTGGAAACGTACTTCTGCCCTAAACACCCCAGCGTGCCCTTGGACGCAGGCACCAGATACCGTTGCAGACGCAGCGCCTCCTCCGGCGCGAGTAGCCACCGGTCCGGGAGGAAGCGGGTCGGCGAGGGGAAGATGGTCGGGTCGCGAAGGATGAAGTAGGTGGACATGCTTATTGGGGTCTTTTTACTTTATTAGCATTGGGGGAGGGGAAGGGGGGTGAATGGGGAGAAAGGGGGGACGAGGGGCGAGGGGGGAAACGGAAACATACACCAGCTGGGATCTCCCAGTGCTGATATCTCAGCGTCTCGTGCGGGGCGATGCGCGGCAGTCGGGTCGTCACGATCGAGGAGAGGCGGAGGCCTTCTTTTATTGTTGCGCTCTGGGCATTGGGTTAGTTTGTTGATTGCAGGAAGGGGGGGATGGGGGATGGGGGATGGGTTACAAGGAAGGGCAGTTGTTCCAGGCTCTCCAACGCAGGGATGCAGCGCACCTCTGGGATGTTGGCGAGTAACTCGGCTTTGAGTCTCTCGTGGACGGATGGGTTGTCGAGGATGTGGAACATGGTGATGGCTAGGGCTTGGGACGGCGCGTCGGTGCCGGCCATCATGAGGAAGATGGCGTCGTCTTCGAGACGGGGCGAATCCTTTTCGCTGGCGGGCACGGATGGGTCGGCGAGGATGCTGGGGTAGATTGGGGGTGTGGGGTCTTTGTGGTTGTCTGTTTTCGAAGGAGAGAGGGTCGAGGTTTGGGTTTGGTGTTGGTGGATTGCGTGGCGTACGAAGCTTCTTACGTCCTGACGTTCGTCAATCTTGTTCGATCACAGGGGCTTGTGCTATACACCCCCCCCCCCCCAAAAGACTCACCTGCTCCATGCCCATGATATGCGCAAACGGCGGACAGAACCGCTCCGCCATGGCGGGCCACCGCCGCGCCAACACGACCAAGAACGGCAGATGGCGGTTCACGCGACAGAACTCGAACATCCAGTTGATGCGCAGCTTCCACGTGTTGGACAGCTCCGGCTGTTCGAGGTAGTGGGACCCCTGCTGGCGGCCGAAGCAGTACTGCGAGAGCGTGTCCGAGGTGAAGCACTGGAACGCCGTGTGCAGCTCCAGACAGCCCTGCGTGTCGACCAAGGCCGCGAAGTGCTTCTCCAACTGCGCGATATTGGCGCGGATCGCCGGCTCAAGCCGCAGGATCGCATTCTTCTTGAAGAACTGGCCCAGCACCCGACGGCGGTCGCGGTGCAGGGCGTGGTCCTCCGTCGAGAAAATGGATTGCGGGAAGGCGATGAAGCTGAAGCCGGCTTCCTTGTTGCGGTGCGTGCCCGGGCCCGAGTACAGCGTCGCGTAGTAGTCCGGGTCCCGGATGTGCAGCTCGTCCGGCTTGATGCGGATGATCGGGCCGTACTGGTCGTGCAGCCGGTTGATTTGCCAGGTGAAGATGCCGCCCTTGACGAGTTGATAGTACACTTCGTACAGGCCGGTGGCTGCGGCGAGACGCGGGCCGGGGAAGCGTGCTAATGGGCTGAGATACAGGCGGTAGAAGATGAGTTTCGCGGCGTAGACGAGTCCCACGAGGGAGAGGTCGAGCAGGATTCTCCCTATTATGCTGAGTTCCATGTTGTTCAGGCCGTTGTCCTGTATGAAGCTGTTCAGTAGGTAGGATTAAAAGACAAGAGCAAGCAATGGGGGGTATATGGTTAACGGGACATGACTGGTATATCATAGTCAAGAAAAGACACCATCGGTACATTTCATTGGCACACAGATCCCACGGAAGGCCTGGTTCATGATCCCCGCTTTCATATGATGCTATCCCATTTCGATGAGGATATCGAGGCCAAGACTGCATGATATCAGCGTGTATACCTCTGGACGGTAGAAGGTATGACGAAAACGGGTCTTTACTGATTGGTAGGGATTCGAGCCACATGCCTCTCAGAACGTGTAACAGACGCAGGTGATCATGCTCGTACAGTATAAGACGCGCGATCATTGAGGAACCGGAGGTAGGAATGACCGAGGCTGCTGGTGCCCGCTCAGTGAGCAAACAGAGTGTACGTCCTGGCTGCAGAGAACTGTCTTGATTACGAGTGTCGAGGAAGGATTGTATACGCGGGGACACTCCAAATAGATTGCTTCAATCAAGTGATACTGGTCGCGGCGGAAAGAACATAGCACGACCGGATAGCAAACAGTCGCATGGTTAACATGGCATATGGTCGAATGGGAAAAGCACATTGTGATTGCAGGGAATATAAGATAAACATCGAAGTACTGAACATCGAGAAAGATGCCCCGGGTCATTTTACAGGGTCAACCCATTCTCCTTTTTTTGTATCGTGGCAAAACTTCGTCTCGCTTGTCCTGTTTTGTGGTTTGCCCTGCAGATTCCAGACCGCGTGCGATGTGCTGATGATTGCCGACCAACCGATCTTTCCCCGTCCCATATCGGAATTAAGAATAAAGCAGAAAGAGAGAGATTGTGTAGGGGGGTGGTAGAAAGAGAATAAATATAAAAAGATTCGATCCAAGGAGAAGGGTACAATTAGTTCATCCGATATACAACCAGCCAATGACAAGACTCGTAAAGGGTATCAAAAAGACCAAGGAAGATCAGATCAGAGATCTCAGCAACGCGCGAATACACGTTGGGATCAACAACGCGGACGCTTTCGTCCAACATACTGAGCCTTCCTTCCTGGGTTAGACGCTCTTGGGCGATTTGGTCGGAGACTCGGCTGGTTGCTCGACCACGTCTGACAATCGCATTCTCTTGGCTAGAGGTTCACCCGGACTGTCGCTGTTCGTGATGTTGTTGGGAGTACTCTTGTCAGCTAGCTGCCGCTCAAGGTCGGCAACCCGCTGTTTGAGATCGTCCTCGCGTCGCTGGGCCTCTTCCAGAGACCGTCGCAGCCGGACTTCCGAGTCGCGCACAATCATTTCGGACCGGCGAGCCGTCGCATCGCTTCGCTCGAGCTCCGCGACACGACCGCGGAAGAGTTCGTTGATAAACTCCAACTCGCTCACGCGCGTCTTCAGGGATGTATTCGCCGCCAAGAGACCTTCATAAGTCTGAGGAGACTCGGGGTGACGGTCGCCAGCCGCGGACGTCGAGGTCGGGGAAGGCTGGCGCAGCTGCACCGACGGCATTGAATTTGGCGGATTCATGCCATGGTCACCAATGGTCACACTGTCAAACATGTGTTGCGGTGCGATATTGGAGTTGTGCAGCGATTGGGTGTGTTGTTGTTGCACCTGAGGGAGACCAGGCGTTTCCGTGCGCGGCACCGGCGAGTTGGATCGGTCGGAGTGGCCCGGAGACGTCTTTCGCGACGCGCGACGATTGCCATGCGATCCCAGAGGCGGAGTCCCTGCTTCGGATCGGGAGGCAGAGAGGCCATTGGTATCGATGGTACCGCCCGACTGTGGAGGAAGATAGACAAGAAGGGTTAGCAACCGGGTACTGGGAAGAGACGTCACGGATAAGAAAAATTTTCGAGTCGAGGACTCACCTTGCGCTTGGTACCCTGACCGGCGGTCTTGACGCGGTTGCGACTTTTGATCACATCGGTCTTTAGGCTTATCGGACGAGGCCTCCCATGTAGTTTCAAGAATAGACCACAGGCGTTGCAGAGCACGGAGCCGAGTTCGTCACGGCGCCAGAGGGGGGTGGTGGAGGTGCCGCAATTCTGGCACACGGGCTGTAATTGAGGACGTTTTTGATCAGCCAACGTGGTCGCCATGGTCTTTTCAGCAGCAAACGGGGCGGTAGAGGAAGGCAGAGGATGGGGAAGATGAGGAGACGGCGCTGATAGTGGATGGAGTGAGGAAGAGCGCTGGGTTGATAAGATCGGGAGAGATTTGATGGGTGGGAGCGATAAGGCATTGGTGGTGCGGCGCCAAGACCCCAGCGGCTGCTGATAACAGCAAAAGATTGGGTGCGAAAAAGAAACGAGGGGATTCCGGCTCAAAAGGTCAAAAGGGGAAAAAATTCCTCAGCTGGCCACTACTAGAGTAGTAGTCCGTAGATAAGGACTTCCCTCCCCCCATTGCGATAAGCCCCAAAAGCTCCATCCATCCAACTTATTACTTACAGGATTATTGCCTTGTCCACCAGTGGTGGCAGCTGGGGATGATGTCGCGTAGGTCATATTGGCCATTCCGTGATTTGCATTGCTACTCGACGCTCTGGACACGTAAGATTCGTCAGTAAAGACCGTGCTTACCACGCGATCAAGTCGATGGCCTCCACCCGTAGTTATCAAGCAGCCGCCACGGACTTGTCCCACAAGCGAATATCTTCATAATTTCACCCGGCGAGGAGAGGCTGCAAGAATACGTACCGCAGATTGGAAGTGGGCGCCGATGCGACCGAGGCCAGAGCTGACAACCCAGGCAAAGAGGGACCGAGCGAGCTGGGGAACGCGCTGCCGTTACTGCTGCTACTGCCGGGACTATGGGTGAATTTGTCCAGCGAGCTGAGTTCCGGAATGGCTCCCGAGTACTGCGAGGATGCGGACGAGACTCCAGTCACAGTATCAGTTGTGGATTGACGCGAATCCAATTGACTCTCCCCGGAGGACGAGCCTGGATTGTAAGCGGGTTCGTGGGACTGGGGATTGGACGGCGATGGGGGCCGGAGGGCTGGGTCGATGGGCGACGCCCGGAATAGGAGTGAAGCCACCGTGGAGGATGTCGTTGAGGATTGACTATAAATCCGGCCTCAATTGACCGAATTGAAGAATCAATATAAGCCGTTTCGCGTCGAGAACTCCGAGGAGGGTTGTATGGAGGAGGAAAGGGTCGCGCTGCTCGGGAAGAGGACCAGCGACGGAAAAAAAGGGAGGATCGATCTGGAATGTCTTCCTGCGATTTCCCACGAGCCAAATGCAAGCGTTCAAGGAACGATGTGAGAATCTATTCTTCCCGCGTGTTCTGGGGTTTTATCGCAACCGAGTTGGACTGGCAAAGGACAAGGCAGATATAACGGATAAGGAGCGAAGGATCTCAGCGAGGCTGTCCGTAAGACAAGACGAAAAGACTCGACCCGACGAACAAGTGAAATGAATGACAGAGCAGAGAACAAGGCGTTGAAGAGACCATCAATTGAGTTGCCTGAGAGGCCTGCAAAGTGGTCATCCGGGGGAAACGCGAAGACGAATGGGGGGAGGAGGAGTGATGAACTTTGAAGGTGAGATTGGAGGAAGCGTGACGGGGTGGTCGGGGGTGGAACGAGATTGATTGATTAACTTATCGCGCGCGCAGGCTGGGCCGGAGAGGCTACAGTCACTATTAGGGAAGCTTGAACTTATCGATTGTTCCATGCCCGTTTACGGCGGCTGGGGCTGGACCCGTGAGCTCAGTTAGTTATTTGGCTATGGACTACTACGGACCACTTTCTTTTGTCTTCTCAGCGTTTTTCTTTTCTTGGTTTGGCTGGTAGGTGATGCCGTCATCGAAGTGAAGTTAACTAACTATATACTTGAGTATACTCCGTAACTACATGTCCGTACTAAATGAGACACAAGTACACAGTACTTCTTACACTGCAGACAATACCCACCGCGAACAATTGATTTGTTCTCTCCGACATGGTTGTTGTCTGCATGTCTCCTCCCTTATCTACGGAGTACAGTAAGAACGATTATCGATTAACCAAGTTACTCGGTACTAGACCCGGAATGAGTCCTGGCAATGTTGTTGCCGTGCCCCTGCATGCCCCTTTGATACTTACACAGTATTCATTTGGTTCCATCTGGTCCTTCGGTTCTTTATTCGGAAAGGGAAGCTTTTAGGGGTTATGTACCGAGTACCCTAAGATCGATCGCTTCTTCTTGGAATTGGGGCTCGAGTGAAACCGGTTTCCCGCACGGGGTCGAACAACTAATCGGCCACGATGACCAACCGTTTGCTCGCCGAGACAGCCATCGATCAATGGAGCTGTGGCTATTACGGAGTACGTATTTGTATGGAGTATAAGTTATTCCTAAGGTACTGAATAAGACTGTGCCTCCGTTCTCTGCTTGACAGTCCTAATTGAGAGTCTCTGCTTCACCACGTGGATTGAACATGCATGGCTCACAGCAAACGTAATGATTGCCCAAGACTCTAGGCCCTCGTCTCTTCTGCTCATCATGGATCATTCAGGGGTTTTGTCGATGTTCATCAAGCTTGGGTGGAGCCCGCGCTTTCGGAGGAGCTGCCGTGGCGGTGTCGTATCGTATCGTCAGACATGTGGCGGCACAGGACCCTGACCGGTTCATGGTCCAATTAACAGACAGCGCTGAGGCACCGGAGATGGTATCAATACAGTTCTGCCAGATAAAACAGACAAGGCAAGCCACAGCCGTATCGGAACAGCAGAAGATGACAGCGTTGAACGTCCACCACAGCAAGTCCCTCGCCCGCTCCGTCTCCTCCACCTAGTCCAGTCCTACTTACTTTACTCAACTAACCTGACTAACATCCACCCTCCACCCTCCACCCTCCACCCATTTCCACCCGCCGAGTTTCATTTGCGTTTCTGTTGCTGTCGGTTGTCAGTGATGCCTTGAGTCTCTTTCTGGCTAAACCCATCGTGTCAATTGTTCCCTTTCTCTTCATTCATTTTATACCCCATTCCTCAATTCCTTAACTTCGTGCTCCCTTTCATATGAACTGAATGTTGGTTGCCTCCCGGCCCTTGCAGTCCTAGACCAGTCGCCCTGCCACCATGCCCAAGAATCGACCCGCAACTTCGGGGTATGCCCGCTTGGCGCAGGAAGAAGAAGACCGAGCCCACGATCCATACGAATACTCAGACGATGACGACCTCCAACACGACTCCCACACCATCTCCCAATCCGCACCACGATATGCACCGATCTCCGCACGAACCGGCCTGGCCTCACCCCCCGAACCGCGACGGAGGCTGAGTGGGCAGTATCACCGACGGGGACGGAGGAACTCGGGGGTGGACATTAAAGCCATCAATGCGCGCCTCGAGCGGTGGGCCGAAGAATTCGCTTCCAAATTCAAGATCAATCGAGTCAAGGGAAAGACACTCGAGGAGGAGAAGCTAGAGATCTACCACTCAGTCTTCCAGGCGCCCGATGGGGTTCGGCCTGTCACTGCGGAGGTTCTCGAGTCAGACGAGGTCGAAGGTGCTGCGCGGAGAGCTCGAGAGGAGTTCGAAGAGGTGGTGGAGAGTGTCCGGATCGCCATTGAGATGGGGGTCCATCCCCGAATGATCTCCCAGGGCAGTTCGGGTAGTTATTTCGCGCGGAACAGCGAGGGTAAGGTGGTGGGAGTCTTCAAGCCCAAAGATGAAGAACCCTATGCATCTCGCAACCCGAAATGGACCAAGTGGATTCACCGCAACCTGTTCCCATGCTTCTTCGGTCGAGCTTGTCTCATTCCCAACCTATCCTATGTCTCCGAAGCGGCAGCCTATGTTCTCGACTCTCGACTGCAAACCAATCTCGTTCCTTATACCGATATTGTCTGGCTGTCCTCGAAGTCCTTCTTCTACGACTTTTGGGACCGCAGAAAAGCTTGGATGGGCAAGAAGTCCCTCCCGCCCAAGGCCGGTAGCTTCCAGGTCTTCCTCAAAGGCTACAAGGATGCAAACCTCTTCCTGCGCGACCACCCTTGGCCCGATCAAACCAATACCGGGTTCAGAGCAGAAGATGCTCCCAAGCGAAAGAAGCGTCCGTGGAATGAAGCATGTCGCCCTTCTGGAATACACTCGGACGATGAAGACGAAGAAGCGTACCGCGACGGTCAGACGCAAACTCCGTCACCGCGTGAGGAAAGCAGAGAGCGGCGGTTCTACTGGACGGAAAGCCTGAAGCAGTCGTTCAGGGAAGAGCTGGAGAAGCTCGTGATCCTGGACTACATCATGCGCAACACGGACCGAGGTCTCGACAATTGGATGATTAAGATCGATTGGAAAACCGAGGAAGTCTCCATTGTCGCTGATCCGCCGAAACCCAATGGCGCGCAGCAGCAGCGGCAAGAAAATGATGACGATGACTTGCCCCCTGCGCGCCCGGTAGCAGTCAATTCCGACGGAGCGACAACTGCGCCTCATCCCTACCGGAGACATGAGTCCATGCTTGCCGTGAGTCGCACAGGGACTCCCTTGAACGCAACCGAACCTTATGCAACCATCCAAATTGGTGCCATCGATAACAGTCTCTCGTGGCCATGGAAACATCCCGATGCGGTAAGTTGACGGAAGAATATCACTATTTGCATGGCTCGCGCTAATATCTCTCAGTGGCGGAGTTTCCCATTCGGCTGGTTGTTTCTGCCCGTATCTTTGATCGGCCAACCATTTTCGCAGAAGACCCGTGACCATTTCCTACCGCTTCTAACCTCTACTGCCTGGTGGAGCGGCACACAGATGGCTTTGCGCCGTGTGTTCTCACAAGACGATGATTTCAAGGAGAGCATGTTTGCGAGACAGATTGCAGTCATGAAAGGCCAGGCATGGAATGTTGTGGAGACACTGAAGCATCCCGACCATGGCCCACTTGAACTGACGAGAAGAACGCGCGTCTGTGTCTGGGATGATCTTGTGGATGTGCCGGTTGCTATCCCCCTCCGCGGCCCCTCCACGGAGGCTCAGAGACGCAAAGTGAAGAGCTACGAAAATTACGACAAACATAGCACGTATGATCCCGATAACGAGGAAATGGATATTGGTGCCTCGATGTCCTTGGGTACAGGTCCTGAGGTCGATCTGCTTGGACTCAGTTCCCCTCCAAATGAACTGCCAAACCCCAACCGGTTTGAACTGTCCAGAGGCCGCAGTTCCGCGTCCGGCCATGGCAGGGCACTCTCGGGTAGCCCAGTCACCATGGACGACCGGTATGGCCGCGACAGTATTGACGAGCTGAGTCATGGTAGAGACTTGGAACGCAGCTGGGCCACACTCCCACCTCGGCCAGGTCACCGACACCAGAAACACAGCTCCATCTCCAGTAATCGCGGCCAAGCGCACCTGCTCTGGAGTAGCGACGATCTCGAAGGAGATCTCGGATATGCAGCCGCAGAGGGCATGGAAGGCAACCAACGTAAAGTGATTGTCGAGCGGCTGGAGGCCGTCAAAAGTAAGAATCCCGTGTTTACCTGGTGCTAAACACGGATTCTCACACGTCCCCCTCTCAACGCTTTTTTCCTTTCCCCATTTCTTCGCTTTTCTCTTCTTCGTCTCCCCATTTAGCGTGTATCATGATAATCTGGCATGAGGAGTTCCTTTTCGATTTGCAAGGTATGGCTTTTGTTGGAAAACTTCATCTGATGGGTTAGTGTCATAGACAATGGAAGTTGATCTTCACGTGGGATATTGTGGGAGACCTAATCTTTATTCAGACTTACACCCGGTGTATAATTTCTGCTTTGAGTACATATAGCTATAAATAGTTGCGAGACAAAAGGAATCAAGAATAGAATTAATGCTTTTTTTTTTCGCCTTGCTTTCAAGATCGAGGAGTGGGCTTAATAACAATGAAAGAAAGACTTGAGGATTTAGAGTCGGAGAATGGCAAACGGAGGAAGGATTGGGGGCTGAGAGACCAAGGCGAAGAGGAGAGATTGGGTTGGAGAAGCAAGACAAACAGCAGATCGAAGGCTGAGCGTGTGAAGGGACCTTTCTTTTTGGATCATGTCTTTGTGAACCCCGGCCATCAATAGTAGCCATATACAGTACCTAGTACGTACTGTACAGTAGACTACATGACTCGTGACTCGCCCGCAATCTTATCTACTGCTAACTTCTTGGCATCGTCTGCCCCGTCGTCACCATCGAGCGTTCAACCCTCCCAATCTCCACCTCTCACATCTCTACCACGCTTGTCTTACTCCTCTCTTCTCCTACTCGTGGGCCTCGGGTCTTAGCAGCTTAATGCGATAGTAGTATATTGACGCTGTGACCTTCCCTCACTTGTCCCTCGTTTCGCCGCCACCGGACTCCCACCCTCCGGAGTGTATGCTCAGCCGTCAGAGACCACTAGCGACAGACCATCCTTACTCGAGAGCTGCTTCCTATCCCCATTACTTGTCTATTCTGGACGATTTATGCCTTCACTACTTCCTCTCCGCCAGTTTCCCTGTTTGCGATCTTGAATCCGTCTCTCCAGGATCTCCCGCCCGCCCGCGCGCGTGTTTCGCTCTCGCCGCCTGCAGCTGAAGGAGACTCCATCTGACAACCATGGCTTCCTCCGACGCCGCCATGTTGTTGAACCCACGGGCGCACAGAAAACAACTACAGAACAAGAATGGTAAAGCCTCCCCGGAGCCCGAGCTCGAGCCCGCATCATCCTCCACTCACCAGGACCCCACCTCCTCCCCCGACGTCGCTGATTCCCCGCACGACGAAGAAGGACCTCTATCTTCGCTCCTCTTTTCGACGTTGCATTGCCCCTCATCCCCCTCCCTTAACAGCAACACCCTTGGACCAGACACGGAAGACTCATCGTTCCCAGGATCCTCGACGAACCCACCTGACTCTTCCTCCACACCCGCCTCGCAGCGCAGTCCTGCCTCGTCCGTGGCGCCGCCGGGTACCGCCTCGGCCGCACATCTGCTCCTCAACAGCCCGCGCCGGCGCCAGCAGAGAGGGGGCGCCTCGAGAACAAACTCCCTCGCAAACTCGAACATGACATCACGGTCTGGGACGCGAACCCCTTCGCTGACGGGGGATGCGGTGGGCGCTTCGGCGCAGGTACATCAGGCTGCGCCTACGATCGATGTTGAGTTTGCGAGCGCGAGCTCGGACTTTGAAAGCGACGATCGCACGAGCGTCAAGCGCAGCTCCGAGCACCTCGACGATGATGGCCCCGATGCGCGACATGGGAGCCTCATAGAGAATATGTACGGGGTGGAAAGACGTGCGAGTCAGCCAATCAAGAGGGTGAAGGTAGAGAAGGATCAAGAAATGAAGGCAGGGCAAACTACAAACTTCTCCGGGACTGGAAACTCGGAACTCGGCGGATGGATGAAGGAAGGGCGAGATCAGGCGGATTCGTCTTCGTCCACTGCGAATGTCGTGGACTTGACTACAGGTATGGGACGTCTCAAACTCAGTTGGGAGCCCTGTGTTGACCGGCTAACTCCTTGCGGTAGATGTATCAGCTGCAGCCACCGACGACGACGAGATACAGGTCACTGGGTCTAATGATCTCAGTCTACAGCGGGTATGTTATGGGAAGATTGAGGGGGCGACGGTGCAAGCGCAGTTGGTCCCGAAGCCTTCGACCCATTCTCTTTTCGCAGATTCAACGCACGACTGGCCGTCAATGAAACTCGGGGTGCATCGGCAAACGCGCGGGAACAACCGCATTGAAGTTTCTGACCCAAATGGGAAGATCTTTGGTGTGATTGATGCCAGAACAGCAGCCGTCATTGTACCGTTACTGGATTCGCCTGCCGTGAAGGTGGACCTGACTGCGCGGCTGGATTTTCGACGGAGGAAGGAGGGCGAATGGCCATGGGTACCCTGTTCCGAGACCTACCGGGCGTCTATCAATCTATACGGCCTCCGGAAAGATGCTACGCTGGTCGGCAAGCACCTCGGTCAGCATAATTTATGGCTTACGTCTCCAGTTGCGGTGGAACAAGGTGTGCCAACTCTTAATCCACACGCTGAGATGCGGAGGGCCCAGGCTGCGTTCTTGCCGTCCGTGGCCGCCAGGGGTCGTGTAGGGGTCAGCTATGAGGTGCGAACCGCCGAGGAAGTCAACGACGCAGTGATGAAAATGTTCGACCAGCTCCAGAGCAATGATAATCTGCCTGAAATGGAGCCCCCTTCTGGGCTGCGCACACCTTTGCTTCGTCATCAGAAGCAGGCACTCTGGTTCATGACGGAAAAGGAAAAGCCGCGCAGATTCGGTCCCAACGAAGCAGACAACAATTCGCTATGGCGAAGGGATTATCGGTCCGGCGGCAGGAGGAAATACCGCGAAATCATCAGTGGCACGGTGCTCGACGAGGAGCCCCCGCAAAGCCTGGGTGGACTGTTGGCAGATATGATGGGTCTCGGCAAGACGTTGAGTATTCTCTCGCTGGTTCTGACTTCGTTGGGAGAGTCTATCAATTGGGTGAAGCAAGTTCCAGATCCCGCGCTGGTCAAGAGCCTCCCTGGCATCCGCAATACTAAGACTACGCTGCTGGTGGCGCCTCTCAGCGCGGTCAACAACTGGGTGGCGCAGATCAAGGAGCATCTCGAAGAGGACGCAATCTCATACTACGTCTTCCATGGCTCGTCTCGGACCAACGATGTGGAAGAGTTGTCCAAGTACGATCTAGTCATCACGACGTACAGCATTGTCCTCAGCGAACTGTCGGGGAGGGGAGCGAAACGGGGGGTGAGTCCGTTGACCAAGATGAACATGTTCCGGATCGTTCTAGACGAAGCCCATACCATCCGCGAACAGAGCGCAGCCCAGACTCAGGCCATCCTCAGGCTGAACTCGCAGCGTCGCTGGTCCGTGACCGGCACACCCATCCAAAATCGCCTGGAGGATCTGCTCTCCGTGACGAAATTCCTCGGTCTTTACCCTTACGACGATCGGGGTCGCTTTAATATGTACATCCTGAGTCGCTTCAAGACAGGCGATGCTACCGTGCTAGCCAGTTTGCGCGTGCTTGTGGATTCGTTCACGCTGCGTCGAGTCAAGGACAAGATTGATCTGCCCCCGCGACAGGACATGATCGTCATGCTGAACTTCACCGAAAAGGAACGTCAGCTGCACGAGTTCTTCCGCAGGGAGTCGAATGTGATGATGCGGGTGATTGCCGGCGAAGAGAAATCGAAGATGAAAGGGCGAATGTACCACCACATTCTGAAAGCCATGATGATCCTGCGCCAAGTCAGCGCCCACGGCAAGGAGCTTCTAGATCCGGACGACCGCAAGCGGATCAAGGGGCTGAGCGTGCAGGATGCGATTGACCTGGAAGAGGGAGCGGGCGGCGATAGCAGCGGCGCAACCGACAAGAAGTCCTACGAGATGTTCACGCTGATGCAGGAGTCGTCGGCCGACACTTGTGCCACGTGCGGCAAGCGGCTCGAGGAGCCCAGCGCTGACAACGGGGCCGTCGACCGCCAAGCGGCCGTGGCCATTGTACTTCCCTGCTTCGACGTGCTCTGCCCGGACTGCTTCTCCGGATGGACCCAGGCGTTCGAACAAGCGCAAATGAGCCACTCCCCGAACCTCCGGTGCCAGGTCTGCGACGGCTGGATCCCAGCCTCGTACTCCATTATCACCGTGGGCGGGCTCCAAGACTACCTGGTGGACCAGGCACGGGCGAAACAGAGCCGCAAGCATGTGAAGCAGCTGGGCGAGTACGAAGGCCCGCACACCAAGACCAACGCGCTGGTGGCGCAGCTGCTCGCCACGGCGGAGGAGAGCGAGAGCCAGAACCAGAATCAGAGCCAGGGCGAGTCGCAGCGGCCGTACAAGAGCGTGGTGTTCTCGGCGTGGACGTCGCACCTGGACCTGATCGAGATCGCGCTGCGCGACAACGGGCTGACGGGGTTCACGCGGCTGGACGGGACGATGACGCTGGCGGCGCGCAACAAGGCGCTCGAGGAGTTCCAGCACAACGACGCGATCACGGTGCTACTGGCGACGATCGGGGCGGGCGGCGTGGGGCTGAATTTGACCTCGGCGTCCAAGGTGTACATCATGGAGCCGCAGTACAACCCGGCGGCGGTGGCGCAGGCGGTCGACCGCGTGCACCGCATCGGCCAGACGCGGCCGGTAACGACGGTGCAGTTCATCATGGCGGACAGCATCGAGGAGAAGATCTTTGAGCTGGCCAAGAAGAAGCAGCAGCTGGCGGATCTGAGCATGAACCGGGGGAAGTTGGATAAGCGGGAGGTGCAGGAGCAGCGGATGCGCGAATACCGGAGTTTATTCAAGTGATTTTTTTTTGTTGTTTTTTCGTTCTATACCCGGTGGGTTGGATGGTTCAAGGAAGGGAAGGGTGTCATTTACTGGCGTTTTTTTTAATGGGTTATTCATTTTGGCGTGCGCGTCAACGAGGACGGACAGATTTACAGCACGATATACACTGACACAAAAAGAGAGAGAGACAACAAGGCTACACAGCACCGACGAACATCGACGAACATCGACGAAGACAGACATATAGAAGGCATGGTCAACGTCTTTGTTTTTGCTTTCGCTTTTGCTTGGACGAGAGACAAAGCACTTAGATCTGCAATCCAGTACCTAATAACTTCCATAAACAGTTGAATTCATCATTAATCCATGATCCGATGCATGCACCCGCTAATCAACCAGTGCTTCCTTGCTCTCAATAACCACCTCCTCCCATTTCCATCCCCATCCCCATCCCCATACCCCATACCCCATCTATCCATCTTACTCCGTAAGAAACCTAGAAGTCCCGCTCCCCATAAACCCCCACCTCCATCGCCCCCAACACCCCCTCCAACCGCCCCCTCAACGCCTTAAGCTGCAGCATCCTCTCCCCTCGCACCCCCTCCCACCGCCTCAACTCCCCCTCCAACTCCCTGATGCGGCGCTCCTGCTCCGCCTCACTCGACCCGATCCCGGGCAGCACACTAATCAAATACTCGATCTGCTGCTCCTTGAGCACCAGATCCCGGGCCAGCTCGCGCTGCCGCGCCGCAAACGTGCGGGGCGAGTCCGGCGCCGGCGGGAGGGCGGGGTCTTGCGCCGTGCCTGTGCCGGCTGTTGTTGTGTCCTCCGGTGCTGCGCCGGCGGCGCCTGGTTGTGCGGCTTGTGGGATCTCGGCGGGCGTCTGCTGTTGCGTCTGGTTGGATTGCTGTTGGGCGGCGAGCGGCGCGCTGGCGGGCACCGGCGGCGCGGACGAGTTCTTGGGGATTTTGGCGAGCGCGGGCGCCGCCGGCGCCGTTTGGGTTTGGGTTGAGGGGGGCACGGTCGCGGGGCTGTTGTCGTGGTAGGTGGTTAGGTAGCCTAGCGTTGCGTAGAATTGGGTGGCTAGCTTTTTTGGGGGGAGGGTTGTCAGTTGGGTTGGGTTGCTGGGGGACAGGATGGGATGGGGTTGGGGATGACGACGCACTTGGTCGAGGCAGGTTTGGAGTTGGGTTAGGATGTCGGCCATTTTGATTCTTTTTTGTTTTTTCTTTTCTTGGTATTGTATGGTGGTGGTGTGGTGAGGGGGAAGGGATAAATTCAAGTAGGTAAGAGGGAGAGGTGGAGTTAGAGATGGTGGAAGAGTATGTATGTATGGGAAGAGTAGAGGAGAGCTCGCTCAAGGCGGAGTAGAGGATCAGATGCAAATCGCGATAAGATTAGAGAGGATTGTCTGTCGGCCTTTTTCCTCCGCTCCGCTCGCCCTCCCTCCCTCACACACCACTTTTTTCCCCCGATCGCCACGCAACCCAAGCTCCTCCCTCTTTAACCACCGCGCTACCACTACCGATCACAACTTAAGTCCGCTCTTCCGCATTCACTTACCCAATACCGACGCACACGAACCAACTATGCACCCGACCCCCGCACCACCCGCAAAATGACCTCCTCGCTCTCCTTCTTCACGCGGCGGGTGTACCAGCTGCCCGTGCCCCCGATCTCGAAACACAAGCACTACAACCGCGCGAGCTTCATCGACTTCGCGCGGCGGCACGAGCTCTCGCGGACGTCGACGCTCTTCATCGGCAACCTGTACGAGTACACGGTGCAAACGGAGCTGCGGCACGCGGCGGCGCTGCTGCTGCACCGCACCGGCGGCCGCAGCGACAACGGCATCGACCACCTGGGCACGTGGCACCTGCCGGGCCACGAGCAGCCGATCCACGTCGCGGTGCAGTGCAAGGCGCACCGGCGGCGCGTGGGGCCGCAGTGCATCCGCGAGCTGGAGGGGGTGGTAGCGCGGCGGGTGCCGCACACCTGGCGGCTGCAGCAGCAGCAGCAGCACCAGCACCAGCAGCACCAGCAGCAGGGAGCGGGGCAGGCGGGCCCGCGCGTCGGGATGCTGGTCAACCGGCGCGAGGCGTCGGCCGGGGTGCGCGCGGCGCTGCAGCGGAGCGCGCTGCCGCTCGTGTACCTGATGGTGGATCTGCGGGGGGTGCTGCGGCAGGCGCTGTGGAATGAGGCGGTCGAGGCGCTGGGCGTCGCGCCGCTGGGCGTCGAGGTCGTCCACGGGCCGGAGCGCCAGCTCGCCTCGGAGCTGGCCGAGCTGGACGCCGAGGGCGGCCTGGCGCTGTGGGAGGAGGAGCTCCGCGACAAGCTGCCCGCCGAGCTGCGCGCGAAGCCCTACCCGCCGCCCATCCGGTTGACCTGGGACCAGGCCCAGGGCCACGGCGGGGCGCTGCCGCTGCCGGGCATGGATCAGATCGAGGCGCGCATGCTGCAGCAGGAGGAGAAGTGGTGGGCGCTCTGGAACCTGGCGCCCGATGATCAGGAGACCCGCTACGAGGCGCTGTCGGTCATCCAGAGCCGGTTCCCCGAGGAGAAACCGCTGCTCTGGGCGACAGGCGGCGTGCCGAGTTTGCTGTCGGAGCGGGATCGCCAGGGTTTGCTGCGCGAGTTGAAGATGATGGGGCTGAGTGAGGGGGTCGCGGTGGAGGGGAAGTCGGAGGCAGAAGAGTCACAATCGACGCTTAGTCCTACGTGAATAGGAGGATATATACAAGAAAGAAAGGTAGATTCGATTCAGCAGAGGCGGAGGGGGTATAATCAATCATGTAAGATACAGTAAGAGACGCCGAGGAACCCAGCCCAACACCAACACCAACACCATATAAACCAACGAGAAACGCCATTCCGAAGAGGCAACCCTCTCTACCCCTGCATCGTCGACCAGAAGTAATTCGAGTAGAAGAACCGCGAGAATTTCGGATCAATGTTGACGACATGGACGTCGCCCTTGCGACTATTCCGGATCACGGCTTTATTGAAGTTGCCCGTCTCGTCCGCCTCGATATCGACACCCAGAGATCGGTAGATTTTCAATCGAAGACTGTGCGTGTGCGTGTATGTCAGTATCAGCAAACCCACTTCCCCCCAATGGTTTGTTTTGGGGCGAACTTACAGCGTCGCATCATCCATCTCCCGCTCGCGACGCGTGGGCTCATCCCCCTCGACGCCCTGCGCCTCCAGATCCGCCAGCCGCTCGCGGAGCATCTCCAGCTCACCCTCGAGCCGCTCGCTCTCGATCTCCAGCTCGGTGGCGCTCTTGGCGATGCGGAACTTCTTGGTGTCGAGCTCGACCATCTCGGCGGCGTGCTGGCCGGCGTCGTGCGCGGCCACGGCCTCTTCCTGTTGGTTGTTCAAGGCGGAGAGGTGGCGCGAGAGCTTGCGGAGGGCGGACTCGGCCTCGCGCATGCGCAGCTCGCGCGACTGCTGCAGCGTGGCCAGCGAGTCATTGATGCGCGTGACGGCTTGTTTGTCGGGTTGGATGTTGAAGTTGCCGATTGTGTGGTGGATGAGCTGGCGAGGGGTTTAGTTGGGAGGTTTTTTTTGGTGGAAGGGGTTGACGTACCGTGGCGGGGTTTTCGTCGAGTAACATTTTCGGTGTGGTATTGCGTGGTGCTCTTTGGTTTGGTGGTGGTGGTGGTGGTGGTGGTGGTGTCGTTGGTAGTGATTAGGGTGTTGAGGGGTGTAAGTTGATAAGCTGTGAAGCTGAGCTGTGTAAGTTAATGTTTGTTGTTGGAGCAACAGCGCCACAATCGTCCCGCCTACAATTTCTGGAAGGACCCCCCCGCCAAGCCACTTGTTAGGCGGCACCGCCACAAAACCTGACGACACTGGCTGGCGTCACGGGATGCCACCACCCACTGGAGATGGAGAGAGACCGAGCGCAAGTCAAGTCGAGTTGAAACTGAGTTGCCTCCGCCAAAGATCACATCCCATCCTCCTTCACCATCCACCGGATCTTGTGTTCTGCTTCTTACGCTTGGTGTTTTCCCAAGACCAGTACACGAAAGACAACCACTAAATCAGAAACCATGGGCTCCAACCTACCATGTAAGCTTTCCCATCGTCATCAAAACAAAAAAAAAAAAAAAAGGGAAGAGCCATCTTCCCCGCAGATATGAACTTATCTAACAACCAACCTTTTCTGATACAGATGCCGCGGACGCAGAGAGGTACTATCCTATCCTCAACATCCAACCAAAACACTCTCTCCCCCGCATCCCGAACCCCAGCTAAACACCTCTCGATGACAATGTATAGCCCGCTCAAACCGGCCGAACTCCAAGTCCTGCGCGCCCAGTACGAGAAAGAAGGCGACTACGTCGGCATCCAGACCAAGTTCAACTTCGCCTGGGTATGTGCCCCTTGCCCCTCCTATTCTTGTCTTGTCTTGTCGTTGACCGATGCCCAATCCAACCCACCGCATGCCTATCTTCCCCACACCCCCTCCCCTACCCCCTACCCCCAAACCCCGGCTAATCACCCCCGAAAACAGGGCCTCATCAAATCCCCCTCCCGCACCGACCAACAAGAAGGCGTGCGCCTCCTCTCCGAGATCTTCCGGGCCGCGCCCGAGCGCCGCCGCGAATGCCTCTACTACCTGGCGCTGGGCAACTACAAGCTGGGCAACTACGGCGAGGCGCGGCGCTACAACGACCTCCTCCTGGAGAAGGAGCCCGCCAACCTGCAGGCGGCCAGTCTGGGGTCCCTGATCGAGGAGAAGGTGTCCAAGGAGGGACTCTTGGGCATTGCCATTGTGGGCGGGCTGGCGTTGGCGGCTGGCGTGGTGGGGGGCATTGTGTTGCGGGGCACGAAGAGGCGGTAATTTTTTTTCTCTCTCTTTCCGTTGTTGCTGATTGACACTTGAGTGAGAGGAATTCGGGCTGATTTTTTGTTTGATGGGTGGGTGGTGAAGGTGGGGGAGTGAGAGTTGGTTTTGAGTTTGGATTTGGATATGGATTTGGATCTTGTTGATGGGATTCGATGGATTGGGAGGGCCGGGTGGTGGTGGTGGTGGTGATGTGTATATATGGTTGTTTGCTGAGAAAGGGGACGGGTTGTACGCCATTGAGTGCCGTGATGAGGTTGTGGGTTTGAGCCCTTCCTGCCCTGCGGGATGGTATTGATTTGTTACTAGCTGATTGTTTAGCATGATGGGCGTTGGGTATTGAATTTGATGGTTGTTGATATTGCTATCGCTTCTTGTTCGAGGTTGAATATTACATGGGTCGTAGTCGTTTATCTTGTGGTATGGTGAAGGCTTGCTGATAGCTACGGAGCTGTGGTGTTGATCCTTGGCTATTGCTTGTGTACAAGTGTGTTCCATCAATTCAAGGGTTGTTCTGGCGCTGTGGTGTATATAACGAGCTATAGGCGGGCGGATATGGGATATGCTCAAACTGACAGATGCACCATGACGAAATAGCCATGACAATGGTCAAGCAACCAGACCGTCAATGCAGTGGAAACGCAAGCCAGTCTGTCAGCCACGACAGCTACAACTCAGGACCAAACAAGGGATGATGAACCACTGAATTTAAGCTCAAGTTAACGACCTAGACCGAAATTAAACTTCGCTCTAAACTCCATGCTGGCAACCAACAGAATAACGTGCAAAGAGATCACCGCCAGGGCGATCACGAAATCATTGGGTCAACATCCCCACTATTGGTCATTACAGTGTCGTTCGACGAGCCATTCTGGCTCGTGCCGGCATTACTGTTGTCGTGGGTACTGGACGAGCTGGAGTTACTGTCCCCTAACCCCAAACTCAGCTTGTCGGGGATGTCCTTCTTAGCCTCGCGGGCCTTGTTTTCCGCCCACGCACGGAGCTTAACCAGGTTGCGCAGGCGCGCTTCTTTACAGTCACCCTGGGTTTGCAGGATGGCTTCGTTCACACGGTTGGCAATATCTTTACGGAGCTCGGGTTGTAGCAGAGGGGCAAGGGATGGAGAGAGATTATCCGACGGGAAGATCAGGAGCGCGAGGGTCCGTTCGAGATCTTCCAGGAATTGGGGGTTGGTGGGCGCCCGGGGAGCGAGCTGCGAGGTCGCAAACTCTAGGGCTGGACTGATGTCTCCGTCAGGAGTGGAAGTGCACGAGCGGATAAGCTCGACCAGCTGCAGACGCAACAGGGCAAAGTGCAGGGGAGGATTTTCATCCAGGATCTATTTCGGTGCGAGTTAGCGAGGATGCTCCCACAATCGAGATGTAGTACACATAATAGAAGTGACTTCGAATCATACAAAGTTCTTGATGATGATGAGTGTTTATCGACCAAATCCCGAAGGATTGTTCCGAGTGGTGCATGAAACTGATCTAATCATACGAAGGAAGGTGGGGTTGTGCAAAGAGAGGATGTTTCTTACCTGAGGGTTGAGCTCATTGATCTTCTCAATGGCGGTTTGGATATTCCCAGAATGAATCGCAGTACGGATTTGGACTCTTTCTTGAATCGCCTCGATATCTGCTCTGGGTTGGATATTGGCCTCGAGCGCGAATTTCTTCGCCGCAGCCGGGTAGCCATTGGTGATGAGGTAGTCCATAACCAGATAATTGATATCACTTTCAACACAAGCATGTTAGCAAACGATCACAACTAAAAGATCATGAACAACGATGCGCATTGACGAAGGTTCAGTAACACAAGTTAAATATTTTCTCCTCACATTGATTCAGAGAGATTCCCAACTTGATTTTCAAGATCATCATAAAAAACGAAAAAGGACAAAAGGGAGTCGGCAAGATAAACTCACGTTTTGGACGGCTTCACCTCATCAACCTTCCGCTCAAACTGATGCCATGTCGGCGTTGCTGTTGGGGAAGAGGGAGACATCTGTTTCCCGTTAAAACCAAGCAACGACGCATGCACGACACATCAGGGCGCATACGTAGTTTGCTGAAGACATGATTGCAATTGGAGGAAGATCAACTTCCTTGGTACTGAGTCACCGGCGGTCTGTGAAGATGGAGAGCTTCGCAGGCGCGAGCCATTAGGTGACCTCTAAAGGGGAGTGTGTGTAAGAAGAAGAGAAGAGAAGGGAAGCGGAGGAAGAAATCAGGCGGACAGAAAATAAGGAAATGCGGCGGGAGCTGTTAGGTCAGTCACGTGCAGATGGCTAAGCCTAAAACCGCAAGCGAAGGTCACGGACCGAGGCTAACCTTAAAGAAGTCAAGCGGCGATCACTGGATGCTTTTGGTGCTTTTGGCAGTCGAAGTATCGTGTATCGCCTGCCAGGTGCCCTGCCAATTCCCCTCTCCGTCTTATCGGGTCCCTCCCCCCCAAAGCCTTATCCTGAGACAATCAATCGGGGACTCTTATTTTTTCTTCTTCCCCCCCCTCACTATCCCCCCTCAACCCCCCCCCCCTGCAGTGTTATGAGTACCAGTGCCTCCTCTGGACTCATCTGATTCGTATCTCGGCCCGTCAATTCCTTGGGGAGGAATATCTAAATCATGCAGTCCATCTCACCGGTGTTTTCGTCCGCCACGGACAAGGACAAGAAGTACTCGCCACCATGGGCTGATTTGAGCATTATTGGGATTGCGGGCAGCTCAGGGTCTGGCAAGACTTCAGTGGCAATGGAGATTGTCAAGTCACTGAATCTGCCATGGGTGGTGATTCTCGTAATGGTACATCTCATCTATCAGTACCCGAATAGCTCGCCTATCGGTCTATCGGGGTTTCCATATGTGCAATATGATTGGTTTCTGACGGTGCTGTGGTACAGGACTCCTTCTATAAAAGCTTAACTCCAGAGGAGCATGCCAGAGCCCATGCCAATGACTATGACTTTGACTGTCCCGAGTCGTTAGATTTCGATGTCTTGGTGCAGACCCTGCGGGACTTGAAACAAGGGTACAGTGACCATTCTTGGTGTTATCATCAACATATACCATACTCCCTATGAAGCTGACCCGTCTGGTTCAAATCATTCAGAAAGAAGGCAGACATCCCTGTATATTCGTTTGCCAAACACCAGCGTGAGCCGCAGACAACGACACTTTATTCCCCGCACGTGATCATCCTGGAGGGTATCTTGGCTTTGCATGACCCGCGCATCATGGAACTGTTGGATGTCAAGGTGCGCCGTCTTCGCTCTTCAGGTCGCATACACGCTTACCATTGTACAGATCTTCGTAGAGGCTGATATGGACATTTGTCTGGGGCGCAGAAGTAAGTCCCTGCATCATCTACGTTCTTGGGCTGTGCAATGACTAAACCACCGCTAGTCATGCGTGATGTCCGTGAGCGCGGAAGAGACATTGAGGGAATCATCAAGCAGTGGTTCACCTATGTCAAACCCTCCTACAAGAAATATGTCGAACCTCAACGAGCAGTATCAGGTGAGCTCAGAGACTCACTAATCGCTCTTGTCTTAAACTGACCTGTTTCTAGATCTCATCATCCCTCGTGGAATCGAGAACAGAACTGCTATCGGTAAGCCTAAGCCATGCCGTGCGCTGTCTCCAAACTAATTGCGCAGACATGGTCGTGAAACACATTCAAGGCAATCTGGACGAGAAGTCCGAGAAGCACAGTGCAGAACTCACTCGTCTCGGTCTCCTTGCCTCGGAGGAGAAACTGTCTCCCAATGTTGTCGTCATGCATGAAACGCCACAATTCATCGGCATGAACACGATCCTGCAAGATCCTGCAACAGAGCAGGTCGACTTTGTGTTCTACTTCGACCGCCTGGCTGCCCTACTGATCGAGAAGTAAGTGGACATTCCCATCAACGCATAGAGGCAATCGACTAATGATCGAACTACTGTGACAGAGCCTTGGATGTGACCAACTATATCCCCAAGGAAGTACATACTCCCCACGACAACTCCTACCAGGGCTTAAATCAAGCCGGCACGGTCTCCGCCGTCGCCATCTTGCGGGGCGGATCCTGCCTCGAGACCGCCCTCAAGCGCACCATCCCCGACTGCATCACCGGTCGTGTACTTATCCAGACAAATGAAAAGAACGAAGAGCCAGAGCTTCACTACCTCAAGCTGCCTCCTGGGATTGAGGAGCATGAAAATGTCATGCTTCTGGACCCGCAAATGTCGAGTGGAGGTGCTGCCCTGATGGCCGTCCGCGTGCTGATCGACCACGGCGTGCGCGAAGAGCGGATTGTGTTTGTCACCTGTGCGGCCGGCAAGATTGGTCTCAAGCGACTCAGCGCCGTCTACCCCAATGTTCGGGTGGTTGTTGGACGCATTGAAGAAGAACGCGAGCCGCGCTGGATCGAGAAGAGGTACTTCGGCTGTTAAAAGAACGGAAGAGTATATATCACCACTGGGAGGATCACTTTTTTCGGTTTGCCACCCATACATAATGTTTCATATATGTGCATAGTAGGACCAATAATGACGAGATACATGAGCATTGAGAGGAACACGGAACGAATTCTGAAATTGGACTGACCTGGCCATCTCACACGGACAGCATACTTACCAATTCACTGCCCGCTACTGGCCCTAAACCCAAAGTCTCCCTGAAGTGTATCACGCAGACGCTTGTCCTCGCCAGAGATAAGAACAAACCACGTGTTTCATTCTACAGACCTACAACACCAGACTAGAAAACCTCGAAGCCCTACACCCACTGTCTGATCGATCTATGCAGTGCTATTCCAGACTTCATCAAGGTGGGGTCGTCGGCGAAATTGGGAACCCGCGTGACTACCTTGACTGGGTGGGCAGAGGAGACAGAGACAGTACAAGTCGCAGACCACACTATGACAATTCGTGGCTTTCAGACAAACACCTGGATCAAGATTCGACGATGCACAAATACTGAGTGGTCGATGTTGGTCCTTTGTGCATTGTGGCGTCTTTACATCTTTACGTCTTTACCATCAGCTGTCATCCAGGCTCCCCTCAAGGCGGGCAATGAGGGGTGGAGAATCTCTATTTTGCGCGATATGCGCAAGACCGCATTAGTACAACGAGTTCAGGTCATGTACCGAAAGAAGAGTCAATGTCTCGAAAGAGGGCTGTGACTGAGACCATCATGTGACCCCTTTTTGTCAGTAGAGGCAGTACTCGCTCGCTCGCCCTTGGCGAAACCTCAGGCATCACTTTCATAGTTACATCGTCGCCAGTGTTCTCTGGTCTGGTGGCTTGCCCTCCTATGTCACACACATTTGCACACGAACAAATCATTGAATCCCTTAGCGAGCCAAGAAAGCATAGTACGCGTACAGAAAGCCTCCTCGAATCTTTCTGACCGTTCGAGATGCCGCAGATCCCAGGAAAGCACCATCACCCCCTTCGCAGCAGGCCGGTCGTGACAACCTCCCCCAGGGATGGCTCCAGTGACGATGTTTCCCGTTCTCCATTGGGAGATGATGTAATGGCGATGAAGAAAATCAGAGCTTTTAGCCCCGATTGGGGTAGTCCGCGTGCTTGCGGGATGCTACCATCAATGCAAGGAGAAGTATAGAAGCCAGGGTTCAAGAATGCGCAACCTCCAAGGCTTCATTCTTTATAACCGATCAGTTGTACTTGCTTCTCGCACCAGCATCACCACCGGAACCATACTGAAATTTTCTCAGTAGCCCGCCTTGTTGATGTTTCGTCAGAAGATAACCAGCTATGATCTCAGGTAATGACTTTTTCCCCCTCTGTCCTTTCGTAGCTGCGTCGCTTAGATGTATGGCAAACCACTAACACAGCTTCCATGTGAAACACACTCTCTAGGCTTGACCAATCATGCATATTCATGCCCGAGGCACGGAATTCAGCGGCGGCTCCTTCGATAACCGGGTCGTTCAACGTTGCTTTTCCCCCAGGTGTGCGCATCAAGAGCATCAAAGTGAAACTGAAAGGAATGCTCCATGTGTGCGTTATCTGATCGATTCTGACTCTTTTCCCGCTCAAAGGCGCAATGCTGACTGCGCTGCTTCCAGCCCTCGCGATGGCTTCATGATCGCCGAAGACCGCGTGCAAAGCACATGCGAACACAAGCAAGTCCTCGCCTCGTCCAAGACGCTGGGCTCCTTTCCCATGCCAGAAGGACAGTATGAGTTCCCCTTTGACATCCCACTGCCGCGCAAGTTCCTCGAGACGGTGACGGGCGTCAAGCACAATTATCACTCGTACAAGGTCGAGGCGACGGTGGCGTTCCGATACAGGAGAAATCTCGTGGTCTCGAAACCTATCCGGATCTACCACGATTCAGACCTGGAGGCGAACTACCTCACGTCGGACTTTTCACCGGTATGTGACTGCAGCTCGTCGCTGTGATGTGAAGCACTCAGGCTGACACCGTGTGAAGACAGTAGGAGGAAACTTCGACCAGAAACTGCAGTACTCAGTCTCGATGCCCAGCCATTACATCCCCTTCGGCTCCCGGTTCCCCGTCGACTGCCAATTCACGGCCTTGTCCAAGGATGTCAAACTTCTCGCCGTCACCGTCAAGGTCGCCGAAAAGCACTTCATCCGCCTGGACGCCACGGCGGCGCAGTCGGCGCGCGACAACATCTACTCGATCACATCCCTGAAGAACCACACCATCTTCACGGAGCGGTTCGAAGTCGCGGCGGGGCACGCCGATGACTCCCAAGGCGACTCTGCCGCGGCGACGGAATGGTGCATCAGCAAGCTGGCTTGCCTGCCCCCGAGCTTCGATTCCTGCTCGCAGACGACCGCGACGAAGCGCATCAAGATCAGCCATCGTTTGGTGGTTAGCGCCGAGTTCCAGGATGCCACCGAGAAGGTCGTTACTGAGGTATGTTTGCCGGGTGTATGGCAAGATCGGACGAAAGACTGACGCTCAGACTGGCGCAGACGGCCAAATCCATCCCGTTCTGCATCTACATGACCCCCTCGGTGATCGGACAGGATGGATCCATCTGCAACAAGACGATCCATGACATTCGAGAGCCGCCGCCGCTGTACGGGGACCATATCCGGCATCCGAAGCTGCTGGGGTCGACGGGGGATGGGGATGGGGATGGGGCGACATGTGCACATACGGACCTTGTGCCTGCTTGGAATGACTGTCATGACCTGAACGCTTTGGGGCCTGCGCCTTGCTATGATACACTGGAGCACCCGGCGCCTGCCTATGTTGCTTAATATAATACCGGGGATCTGTTTTATGATCTGATGATGATGTTTTTCTTTCTTGCAAGTTGCAAGTAGCATAAAATGAGAGTCAATCTTAAAATGGTGAAACTATATAATTCGATACCGGTCCAGCTTGGCGAGAATACAGGGTTTAAAATTAGAGGATTGGAAGTTCACCAAAATGAACAGAACTCCTTTGACAGCTCTGTCTGAATAACCTGTCCCTACACAATAAGAATCCAAATCAATATCCACCATCAACCCGCCTGAAAAGCTCTATGCCTCATCATCATCCAAAAGTACAGTACAGTTCGCAGAAAAAGCCCAGCGCACGGACCACCCAATCCGAAGGGCAGCGGGCGGCGGCGGTCGGCGGTGCGGCGACCGGCGCAGCGACCGAAGATTCTATTCTTTGGCCAAAGAGAGCTGAGAGTTTCCCGCTCCGCCCAAAAAATTATCCTGCCATCACTTTCTTGCATTCACACGCTTCGGTGAAATCCAAACCACCCCTAAACCATCTACCCCCAACACTGAATCCTTTCCCTGATCCTTCTTTTTACTTCCTCGCCTATCCCTTCAACTACAAATTCTGACCGCCCCCAAGATACGCACAATGCCCGACAAGAAGAAAAGCAAAAAGCCCTCCGGCGGCGGCGCTGGCGGAGATGCCCCGGTTATCAGTATGCTTTGCCCTTCACCTTTTTGCGTCTCGTTTTGTTTCGTTTCGTTTCGTTTCTGTTCTTGATGCGGCTGTGTGGAATTACTTTCCAGCTGAGGTCTACGGCAATCATGCTGAATGCTATGTGCTTGCTCGACGCTAACTTGTACGTGTGTGTGTGTGTGTTTGATGTCCAGCCGACCCCCGCTTCGCCAACATCCAGAACGACCCGCGGTACCGCCTCCCCAGCAAACGGCACACGCACGTGAAGCTCGACAAGCGGTTCGCGCACATGCTGCGCGACAAGGACTTCTCGCGCAACGCGGCGGTGGATCGGTACGGGCGGAAGCTGGCCCGGGATGATACGAAGAAGCAGCTGGAGCGGTTTTATCGATTGGAGGAGGAGGGTGATGATGATGCCGCCAGTGAAGGGGAAGAGGTGGAGGGCAGTGTGGCGGATGATGAGGAGGTGTTGGCGGAGCTGCGGCGGGCGGAGAAGTATGATCCCGCTCGCGATGGGGGGTTCGAGTCTTCGTCTTCGGAGGAGGAGAGCTCGGATGAGGAGGAGGACATTGAAGATGAGGGTGAGGGTGAGGACGATGAGAGGCTCGGGGGTGAGGAGTTGGAGTTCCCGGATAAGCAGCAGCGCGATGTGCCCACTGGGGAGGTCACGGATCGCATTGCGGTGGTTAATCTGGACTGGGATAATATCCGCGCCGAGGATCTGATGGCTGTGTTTTCGAGCTTCGTGCCTGCTGGTGGTCGCGTGTTGAAGGTCTCGGTTTATCCGAGTGAGTTTGGCAAGGAGCGCATGGAGCGCGAGGAGATGGAGGGGCCCCCCAAGGAGATCTTTGCGAGTTCTTCGAAGAAGGGGGGGGATGGTGATGATGATGACGAAGATTTTGAGGGGTTCGATGATGACGAGGAGGAGGAGGAGTTTGATTCGGATGAGGAGGAGGAGAAGATCAAGAAGTCCATGCTCAAGGAGGATAAGGGCGAGGAGTTCAACTCTACCAAGCTCCGCAAGTACCAGCTCGAGCGTCTACGCTACTTCTACGCTATCTTGACCTTCTCCTCCAGGGAGGTCGCCAAGCATGTCTACGACCTCGTCGATGGCGCCGAGTATCTGTCTAGTGCCAACTTCTTCGACCTCCGCTTCGTGCCGGACGAGACCGACTTCGACGACGACAGACCCCGCGACGAGTGCAAGCGCATCCCCGACGGTTACCAGCCCAACGAGTTCGTCACCGACGCCCTGCAGCACAGCAAGGTCAAGTTGACCTGGGATATGGAGGACAAGTCGCGCAAGGAGGCCCAGGCCCGCGCCTTCCGTGGCAGCCGGAAGGATATCGATGAGAACGATCTGAAGGCCTATCTCGCGAGCGACAGCTCGGATGATGAGGAGGAGGACGGCGGAGTGGAAGTCATGGATGCTACGCAGGGCGAGGGGTCGAGCACAAACATCTCCAAGAAGGAGGAAGAAAGACAGCGCATGCGCGCGCTGTTAGGGCTGAGTGCCGAGCCTACTAAATCCTCCAAG